CTGTGCCCACAAGTTCCCCAAACCGCCCCCTCTGCCGGGAACTCGCCCCCCTGATCCCTCCCCCCAGGGCAGGAGACACAGGGGGAGGGGCTGCACTGGCAGCTGATTCCCCACCCTCCAGCAATGGGATAATACCCCCCCAAATGTCTCTGCCCAGCACTGCACCCCCAGACACCCCAAGTGCTCCTCAGCCCCTTGAAATCTCACATCACCCCCCACAACCTCCTCAAATGCCCCACAGCCCCCCACGCCCTGCACAGCCCCCCACACCCTCTCAAACGCCCCAAAGCCCTCCATGCCCTGCATAGGTCCACCCCCCCCCAAATGCCCCACAGCCCCCCACAACCCCCTCAAATGCCCCACAACCCCCTCCCACAGCCACACCTGCCCCATCCCCAGAATGCCTGGCACAGCCCCCCAGCTCCCAAACACAACACACAGCATCCACAAATGCCCCCACGACCCCCCAGACACCCTGCACAATGACCCACGGGGCCCCACTGCACATGTGGGAGTCACAGCCCCTGTGTCTGCATACAACCGGCTTGTGCCACCAGCAGCCAGCAGCCTTGGGGCTCCCAGTCCCCAAAGCCACTACTTATGGGGCTGCCGTTCCCCCCCACCAGCCACCAGCTATGGGGCTCACACCTCCTGACGTCCCAATGGACCCACACACACCCCCTCCCAGGCACTCTGTGTCCTGCAACCCCCACTCCAACTTCTCAGGCATGGAACTGACCCCTCTGGCCAGTGGGGGAGGCTTGGGCCCACCCCACCCCGTGCCTCAGTTTCCCCATCTACTAAATGGGAATAACGACACAGCTGTCCTGAGGTTTGGTTATACAGTGATCCTTTGCCCAGTACTGAGATGCAGCCGCTTCTGGGGCAGCGTGCAGGGAGTGTTTATACAGGGATCTCTTTCCCAGTACTCAGATGCAGCCACCTCTGGGGTGGGGGACAGGGGTTGTTTATACTGGGATCCAGTGCTGAGAAGCAGACACTTTTGGGGCGGGGTGCAGGGACTGTTTATACAGGGATCTCTTGCCCAGTACTGAGATGCAGCCAGCTCTGGGGTGGGGGACAGGGGTTGTTTATACTGGGATCCGGTGCTGAGAAGCAGACACTTTTGGGGCGGGGTGCAGGAGCTGTTTCTACAGGGATCCCTCGCCCGGTGGAGAAATGCAGCCGCCTCTGGAGGCGAGGTGTGGCAGTTTTTTCACGGCCTCACAAGACAGGCGTTCAGCACAGGAAAGGTATT